GGTCCACGAAAAAAAAAATTCTTTGCAACTTGGCTAACTTTCTAGTCTCCTGCAACTTTCGGTTATTCATTATTCTCAAAGCAAAACGCGATCACGAGAAGAGACTTCGAGGAGGAGCACGAGCTCCTTTCCCGAAAGGCGCCTGGTAATGGAGCCTAATGCCGATTAGTGTAACAACTCAAGGAAAATTCGAGTTCTGAAGGAATGAATTACAAACTACAGCTACTACGTAAAAACAATACTGATCAAATTTGAGGGAAAACCTTACTGAAAAGGCCACAGTTAAGATTTTCATTTGTCTGTGAAACCGAGTCACAATTTGAAAAATCGCAAGTGTAATTCTTAGTGAGAAACCATAAACTGCAGGGACCGCATACGATAAACGCTGCCAACGTAGGATCTACAAGAGATCTGATCAGCCAAAAAAGAAAATGTATGAAGACAAGCAATAGACTGCAAGGCTGATACTACGTAATTCTTAGCCATACAGCAAATCTATGTCCTTCAAATCAGGTGACCAAAAAAACCTTTTTTTCCTTGCAACTCATTAAATACTCAGATTGTCAAGCACTCTCAACTTATTGGACATCGAACTTTAAACTTTTCCCGTACATTTTGCTGCAAGATGGCGCCAGAAACCATGAAAGGATCTACTCCCAGTGTCAACATAATTGCTAGTCTTGTCAGAGCAAGGATGCACATATCAACAGTTTCTGCAGAACAGAGTAAACTTTGATTAAATCACTGCTTATTTATTTGCCACACAAAAAGTAGAACTAAAACCAATGAAAGGATTTTTTATAATAATATAAGGAAAAACTGGCGAGGGTACCGGAAAAGAAAGGTGCGGCCCCCTCATTTAAAATAAACTAAGTTGAGTTGAATGCAAGCCATGCATAGAATCAGTAGTTATCGCAGAGTAATAGCTATTTCCAACTGTCATGGTTCTAATGGTGCTTTGGCTGCAACAGGTATGGATTGCTAAGAATGGCGAGGACCGTATCTTTTCCTTGTCATTCTGATGTTCCTGCGAGGAATTCGTTCAGTTGTCCAATCGTCTTCTCAGTTGCTAAGATCTTCTCGGAAAGGCTTGACGACTGGAATCTGCTTATAATTTTAGTGGGTACGACATTCTTGACAATTAAGTATGATCATTTGTCTCAGGATTTGGTGACTTACGATAAGCTTGTGAGCACTTGTGACTAATGTAAAATAAAAATATGAAAATGGCTGGAACACAGAATATCAGAAGAAAAACAAGGACAGCGAAAAAGGACGAGAAAAAATGATTAAGATGTAAACTGGAAAAGAAATCAGTAGAGATCGTAGAACAAGTACCTGACAACTGCTAAATGAATGAATAAGTAATTGTAGTTAGGTGTACCCAATTAGTGTACATTGTATGCTAGCGACTTCGACACGTTCTTATCTTACTCATCCGATTAATCTGGATGACTGGGATTTTGTAGAAAACGAAAAAAAAAAACGTGCTAATGGTACTTTTTCAAAGTTTCCTTTAATGATATATTCTCCACAATGCTGCAATATCACACCAACAGCAATGCGTGTTCGAGCTGACATGTTCCTAGGGGCAGAACTCTAACATGACGCTTTAACTATCTTTACTGAGTCTTTCACGTGAGCTTTAAAGTCACGGCACTTGAACACGTTCCCCTCCCCTGTCAGGCACGACTTAGACATGCGCATGATTTCTTGGTCTTTTATCACGTGATCTCAGATGTTGACACCTGTCATTTCACCAATCAAACTGTCAACGGCATCAAAGGATTCTCCCACTGAGTCTTGGTCTTATCCTAGTACCAGGACTTCACCCGCACGGATCACGTGGCCTGTAAAAGGTTTAAGGAGAACGTCAACGGAGAAATATAAAAAGACAACCAGAATTTAGTATAAATCTACAAGCGTTCTATCACGAATGCCGTTCGCTGATTGGCTACACTACTTACGATCTGTTCTGTGATAGATAGCGAGTAGTGTAGCAGTGAGTGCTTGTTAAAAGATGACGGCCGCTTCTTGGCGTTTTCGAAGTGTCTGTGAGGAGGATTTGAATAAATTTTTGAACGACTAGTAGATTTATACCAAAACAATTAGATTATTCGCTCTCGATTTCCACGCCATAGAAATCTCGAGCTCATAATCTAATTGTTTAATAGACCATCCTCGGTGCGAGAGCACGTCAGGTTGGAGGTAGTCTAGTTCAATGTCTATCTATTAACTTGAGTGAATGATAAAAATATTGTATCGAGAGGAAAAGCGTTTTACATCGTGTAGTGGTGTGAATACTGGTACGTTTCTTAGTCAGTGAGTTAAATGAATTACAATGGGTAGTCAGACGCCATGCATGTATTTGGTAACGAAGAAATAATTAAGCAGAATTTTTATTCTACCTGTTTTAGATATATATTTCCATCCAATGATTCAACTGATCTGGATAAAGTTTGAATGGTCTCGCTCATAGCTCTCAGTTTTTCTGTTAATAACAAAACATGTCAGAAGTTAGTCACTAATAACTTATAATTAATGTGTGGATGTGCATATTTGACGAGATCTAGAGGAGATGAGGTTTGTATATGTAGACCTTGTGTTTCCGAGGCTTTCTGTAACTTCAGAGACATGACTTGAACCTACAGGGAGAGCACTGCATTCGACTTGTTCAACACATCCAAATCCCTGTCCAGTTTTTGATAAAGGGACGAAATGACATTTTTGCAGTTTCGTTTATCGCATCCAGTTTTCCACGAATCTCGTCTTAGGATAAGATTCTTTTCTCCAAGGCTTGTAGTGTTTTCGTCAACTCAGTTAGCGCAATCTTCGTTTCCTGGGCCGTGGACACGGCAATCTCTCCATTGATGAAGACTTTTCTATTCGCAGTTGTCTTGTTCACTCCATAGGAGAAAACGTGAGGTACAGCCACAGAAATTAGGGACGGATAAAAGCACAGGGATTTCGCAGGAGACATGTTATTGAGAAGTCTATTATTAAGACTGAAATCCTCGGTTATTACTGAATAATAAAAATTTTTAGTCATTGCAAATAAACTAACAAGTATTTTTTTCTCGACCACGATCACACAACCCAAGGGTTTGTTTGATTATCGTGACACAGAAAAATGAAATGAAATTTTAGGGAATATCGGTGACAACTATTTTAAAAGTGGAACTTATCAATCTGTGTTAACTGACTTGCTTCGTGAAAAGTTGTTCGATATACCAAACGCACACTTTTAACGGCTAGACGTTTGTCGACGAATCTCCTTCAAGCTCCGTGACGCAAATTACGGCCATAGGTTGTTTACTGGTGGGAGAAGGAGGGGGGAGGGGAGGGAGAGTTTTACAAGGGTAAAGTCAATTACAAGAATAAAGCTAATTGTTGAGCTGGAACGTGGCCGCAGTGATGAAAGTCGAGCTTTGGGGGCATTAATTTCCAAACTTGTCAAATATCTCTTGTGCCTATCGTTCAGTTTTGGGGCAGTTCGGCATTTACTGCTTTCCCCAATGTCGAAAGTTATCCTCCACCCTGCCATTATGCAGAGTTTCGCGACAAATATATTTGTGTTGGTTCTGCTATTTTGACATTTTAATTTAACTTAGCCTTTTGCTTCAATAGCAGTTAGACACAAAGGAGAGGCGTTCGTACCGGGTCAAAACCGTTGAACACCAAACAGTCAAAACTGTTTGGTGCACGTCTACCAAATTTTAACACTAAATTCTAATTTTAAAACAACATCAAATCTTCAACTAAATTTCCTATTTCCATAACTTTTACTAATCCTTTGAGAAAAACTATTGTATTCCCAAATATACCCAAAAATCACCAAAAGATTTCCAAAACAGCCCAAAACGTAGATATGTGGGATGAGCAGAGAGATTTTTCACTGCTTGAAACGTGAACGAGATATTTGGGTTAAAACCATAATACGCAGCCAAAATACGGCCATCATGTTAAGCCTTAAGAAAAAGATTTTAAGGTAATTGAAGCTGTAGCTACTGACAAGCTAAAATTTCTAAAACCTCCAAACCTAACAAACGCAATGTCGTTGGCATAGGTATAAAATATGGCTTTCCTCGTAATTTATGGGCTGTGTAAGGTTCGCATGGTATTGTGGTAAAATGTACAGCCGCCATCATTTTTTCCATGGAGGATTGATTTAGATTCATTCCAGTCGCCAAAGGCCACGATCCTCCACGGTCAGCACTAAGGAAATATTTCTGGTAACCGTTCTTTTTTCTTAGGGTCAGACGAGTGTTTATTCGTGAACACGAACGCATATAAGGGCGGTATGGACGAAAAGGGTTGGGGCGCCGCACCCATGCCTCGTCCCAGTCCCTTATAGTTTGAAATGTCTCGCATCATAATTCCCACCTCATTTCGATGGGAAAACAGACTGTCAGTCTACACCAAGAATTCCAATGAGGGTCAATGAGCGGATTTCCTGGCGTGAAAAAGATCCGTCAATTTCGATTTCGATCGGAGAATATTGAAAAAGTAAAATTACAGTTTTCGCAGGCTTATGTAGACATGCTTGTTTAAACCAAACCATGATAAGTTCTCGAGTACCTTAACAATGTTGCTATAAGATTGTAACAAAGGTTTGCTCGACTTACCTTCTGCCTGAGTAAAGTGGAGTGAATTAATTTCGACTGCCAACTTTTCCACACCTTTGTTACGAATCAATTAGTGTCACACTGTTTAGAACCCATTTTGCAAAGATGTTTACAATAAAACTGTCAGTAATGTCTTTTGCAAAAGTTCACCATGTCTTTCATTCAAATGCCCGTGCAAATTGTCTACCTTTGTCCCTAGTGATCGATATGTGTAACATCTCAAGTTTACATGATTAGTTTTATACACGAACTCATGTCATGTTGTACTTAAGTTGATTATCTTTCATTGAATATTTTGGAAAATTGTTATTTTTGCACGTGTCAAAATAAGAAATAAAATTTTAAACTTGAACTGTCCACAATGTAACATTTTATTTGCTGTTGTTTTGGTCCCTTTTCATTGATTATACTACAGCTCAGAGTTTCTAGAAAATATTTAAACCAGCATTCTCATTTTTTGAGCTGAATTTTACAATTTCAAATTTTTCTCACTAACCTCATAATTGTTAGACTTTTTGAATTTGGTATCTTGTTAAATATGCATTCAGTTTTGCAAACAACTATTTTTAGGCATGAAATTAATGAAAGAAAGAACTCCATTTGATATGTGTTGCAAACCTTCAGGGCATGACGCTAGATCAGTCATGCTCTGATAAAAAGACTTTTTCAAATGCATCAGTTCAGCAATTTGTTTCTTTACAGTTCGAAAACTTGATAATGAACCATGACACTGACAAAGTTATTTTCGTAATAGTGGCTACAGTCGTCATAACTGAAGAAGAAAAGAAATGACTTTTATAGTGTGTTATGACTGTTTCTAAGTCCTTAAAAAGATTATTCGTCTACCACCTGAATAATAATTTGTTGTGATCTGTGGGTAGTGCGTCACGAAATGTATAGAAATATAAAATAGGAAAATCTTGCGGTGTCCGGCACCGACCGCTAACAATTCATGGCAGTGGCAGCAAAATAATTGCATGCACGCACGATTTGTCTTTGATGGGCTCATTTCAAACTCACGCTAAACCAGTATCACCTACCGTGTCAGCTTTTTTTCATTTCCATTTTTGCTGGTTATTAATTATTCACGAAATTACGAAAAGGCGAATTAGCGAACAAAAATTACTTTCAAGGCACTCCCAGAGACTCTGTGAGCTGGAATGAGTAAGGCAAGGAATTTTATCTAAAAAGCGTCAAATTTTCTGAGAGCAAAACCTTACGTGCAGAAAAAGACGGAGGCACCCACCAAAAATGATCGTGTTGGAAAGGTTGTTTATTTTGTCTTTTCACTTCTTCCTTGTCGCTTCTGGGGACAACAATACTACAAGCTTTTATCAAGGGATAAATACCACCGTTTTATCCAGCACCATTAATGTATCCCCTATTACTTCAATTCAAGTGCAGTACGACGCTGGTTCAGCAAGCACTGTACAGCCGCCGGCATCAGGTTTGCTAAGCGCGGATGACTCCATCGTTACTCGTGGACCAAAGGACAAGTTAGATTATTCTTCTGTTTTACCCATTTTCACTAATATATCTCCTACATCTTCTACTGAAGTGCAGAACAACGCTAGTTCATCAACTACTGGACAACCGACGGCAAAAGGATTGCCAAACGTGGATAGCTCCATCGTTAACTGTGGACCGAATGAGAAGTTAGATTATTCTTCCTATGAAGAAAATTCTGCCTTCTTCTCGAAGAATTTAGCCCAACGATTAAGGGCATGGAATAATACTTTGGAAAATGCTTCTAAACAATGCATCAAAGAGCTCATCAAGCGAAATGTCACTGTGGAAAGCGTAGAAATCAAATTTTCGGTCTTCCAGACTAAAGACATTGATCTAGAGGCTGAATTTTTAACTCTTGAAACAGTCCATCCTGTGCTTGTGAGAGAAAAGAGCGGCCATGACCTCGTGAACGTTGCTTATTTGTCTATTCTTGAGTTGTGGCCTCTGTTGGTCTTGTGTTTCACTTGTGCTGCGCTTTCAGGAATGATCTTGTGGTTCTTAGTAAGTAGAAATCAGACAATTATGCAAAAGAAAAATGAGAAACGAATTATAAAACTGAGTATAGATGCAGCCGTATTTTAATTTATTTGTCAAGTTTTCTGATCTTAACGAATGCACAGTACACCTGCACGTTATGCCGTTATGTTGTTCTTTGATGCTGGGCGCAACAAAGAGCGAGAGCAAAAGTAACTTGAGTGCAATTTTAGACCAAACAGTAGATTACGGAGCAAACGCGATGAATTATTAATCGGTTATGTGATATTATACAGCAAGACTTAGTCCGTGAAGTTGAAATAATATAATTTGCATCACAAAATGACATTGTAAAATGATATCTGCTAAAAAAAATTGCGTGACTTTGTAGAATACTAATAACTTTATGTTTGATTTTCTTTAGGACCACCGTTCAAATTCAGAGCAGTTTCCAAGACGTTTTTGGAGAGGCATTTTTGACGGCATGTGGTGGGCAATCGTTACTATGACAACAGTAGGGTAAGCCCTCTTTCATTACCAACTGAACCCAGTCTCTCGCAAGCGTACTTTCTGAGGCGGTCTGGATGGGTTGCTGTGATGTTAGACTCCATGTTAGTTATCAGTTCAATTCTTAGCGATTTCTCATCTATCAGGAAAAGATATCACAAATACATTACGGTAACAGGTTTCTCTGTGTCCAAAAAAAAAAAAATGTTCAAATGTTGTAGTTTATATTGGTCAATGCGCTGAGCTACACCTAGCTAGTTCATAGGCATGCCATTTTAACTGAAAGAAACAAATTATCTACTAAATGTATTATAGGTTTAAAAATTCCAGCTGGCGGGAAGCAGACTAGTTGACTGTTTACAAGTATGACCGAGGAGTTGAACTAGGGTCTACCGAGAAACAACTCCAGCTTAGCGGTCAGAGCGGGAATCGGACCCACGACCTCCGGAATTCAAGTCTAGCGCCTAGCTAATTATAACCACTCGGCCAGGCTGCATTATTAAGACGTTTCACATGTCAAGATTTTGCGTTCCTCCTTATTCTCAACGAGGAATATCAATCACTCTTACTGCTCTGTTCTTTTATCTTGTTCCTATTGACATAAAAAAAATGTTCCCTGTATCATCCATTCGCCTTTATTCACAAAAAGCGAATATGAACATCAATACTTCCATGCAAAGAAAAATAAGTGAAGCAGGAATGCAATACCAAATACTCAAGACTAAAAAAGGAAATGTAACTGATTCAGTCAGGAATGAGACGTTGATAGCTAGTAATATCAGTTAAGTTTAATACTGTGGTGAAAATTACTGCGCGGCTTTGAAAAACGCTGAGACGACATTTCTTAATAGAAATCGTTGTCTTGCAGTAGTTCTTTAATAAAGTTTTGTTAATGGTTAGTTTGTCCTTTTCTTCCTTAGCAGCAGTGCGGAGGCATAAACATTTCACAATATAACAAACATTTTGCAAACTGCCTTGAGTGATCCTGAATAGGACGTTCCTAATCAGTGCAGATCCCGTTCCATTTCTTAATTAGTAGCAGGAACACAGCACCTCTTATGTTTTGCCAATTGCATGCACCTAGCTGCGTAAACCACATATGTATAGAAAATATTTCTTGCGGGACACAGCGGATAGTCCAGAGTGGGCAAGATAGCGCCATCTTGCCCACTCGGAGAGCTCGGCCAATTACAGCGTAGGATTTGGTTCATCTTGCCCGCTAAAGGAGCCAGCCATATAATAAGTTAAGGTATGTATGTATGTTTTTCTGCGCAGGTATGGTGACAAGGCTCCAAAATCTTTGTTTGCTCGTCTGTTTGCCACAGTGTGGATGATCACTGGAATTATTCTGCTGTCCATGTTCACAGCTCAAGTGTCCTCTCGTCTAACTGCTCAGGAACTCAAGAGTGACGACCATTTGTTTGGTAAAACGGTAACTGGATTATTTTTCTTGGTACTCTCAGCAAACCGGCGTCCTTCTTCTCGCGCTTTGATTGGTTAGATTGAATTGCTTTTAAGTTTCCCGCGCAAGTGACACCCAATCAGCGCACTACACGGGTGTCTGTAGAACATCAACATCAATAATGAGTTTTTCAGGCCCAATTTCAGATCTATTCTCTCAGCGGGAAAGAGAGGCATTCGAGACAGTCATAAATTTTGATGAATTTTGAAAATGTTCTCAAGATAAAACACATTCAAACGTTCACATGATGTCAGTCCAGGCTGAAGTTGAAAAAGGAACTGTTTAATTTGTAACAAGAGAAAAATATATGTCTTTTCTCAGATTACATCAATCAGAAAATAGGACCTCAATGTACCGAATACAAATTCCTTCTCTTGGTTTCTGAGATAGAATTCGCTCCCTTTTTTTTGCCTTTTTTACCGCAAAAACGGGGTCTGATGTTTGATAAAGCGCGTTGCAATGACAAAAAGAAGTTAACAGACACTTTTGACTCACCGGACCAAAGGGTCAAAAACACGCGACGAATATTTACATCAAGGAAAAATTTAGAGGGCGAATGGCGTCTAATATAATACAGGAAAGACTTCCTCGATTTCAGAGGACGCGTTTTGAACTTTATAATTAAAAGGTTGGGTCTAAAAGGAAATTGAATTATTCCAAATTAACATTATAATAAACTCAAAGGAAAGGTTTTACCTCTTATTAAAAATTAACTTCTTCCAAGGTATAAACACTGAATTCTACGCTCACTCTGATTAGCTACAAAGCCATATCCAAGGAAACCAAAGGTATATATTATATATACTCCGGTAAGTTAAGGAGAACAGGTCAGAAATACGTATAGAAAACACTTTACTTGTGGCTGTATGGATCGATAAAATTCAAAAAATGAAAACTATATTCCAGCGACGAAAGAACGGGATGTTTTTTAGCTAATTCAGAGTGACATTACGTTGGCGCCTTTTTAAATTAAATGTCTGTATTAGCCTCTTGTATTCTTTGATTAGAGCGAGACTCTAGACTCCAACACTGCCAGTTGCAATTAGCATAAATGATTTATATTTGACTTGGGTCAGTTAACTTACAACTAATTAAAAGCTACTCGTTAACCAGTCTTGAAACCGGTGTTGAAACGGCTTTGTACGTGTTGAAATTTTTCTGTGTCGGAATCATTGCAGATATTTATTACACCATTTTCTGTGCCTAAAAGATCAAGCATTGTTTTTGTCAACTTTAATTCATGATTTTTCGTGTTAACCCAGTAAAACCAAACCAAGCTTTATTGTGTAAAGTATACCTGATCGTAATGTATAAAACCTTTTTCAGAACCTTGCGTGAGCAGTTGTACACAAGAGTGTTTTTACTCGAAGTACTTTTTAAGACAATAAAGATTTTTGACAAACACCTTTCCTAACTGACGATGCCGCGTCTCAATGTTACATACTTGCACTGTTTTTGAGTTTGACCTGCATTCCTCAAAGACTGAGAAGCTTAGTCTGTCCATCTTCTTACACTGAACCTAACTAAACATGTCGTACTTATTTCTGGCAGAACTAATCTTTATCGTTTACTTATGATATGATTATTCTCGCTTTTTGCGGGTGCTTTCGCGATTCCAGGAATAAAAATGGATGTCTAGGCCATTAAATTAATTGATTTCGCTTAAAATGGTCATTCGGTTCTATATACACCAATGAGTAAAAGTATCATTCAACTGAATGAGCTTTCAACTGAGAAGGATCACTAAAGAAAAACAAACAACACTCGAGACATACAGCGTACACCTTATAACGAACAGCACCTAGTTCAAGGTGTTTTCTGAATGCTCGTTAACGCTGTGTAATGGCGATAGATGGAATTCTCTACCAGTATTAATATCTAGTTTAACAAGCCTCTCCAGGTTTACGAAAAAATTGATCCTATTTTTAATTAACAAATGGTAAATTGGTAACTTCTGAGGTGGCCTCCGTTGTAAGCCTAGTGGTTTCTTTTGGAGGTCTCCCCGCCGCTTTTTCAGTATTGTCACTATTGTTTGTTGTTATTTACGTGGCAAATAAATGATGACAATGATGATGATATGCAGTGTAAGGGGCAGTCGTGACTTAACCCGTAACCGGAACAGGGTGCATCCCTTTGGAATGACCAGGATCAGTGATCCAAGACCACTCGGATGATGGTGCATTAAAAAAACCGATGAAACATTTCTCAGAGTGGTTTTACAGTTCTAAGAAATAAAAAAGGCAGTAAGAAATAACAAAAAGTACGAAGTTATACTAAAAAACGAATTTATCTTAAAGGCCGTCAACACAATTCAATTCCACAAAAATTGGCCTATTTTTTTTTTTTTTTGTAAAAAACACGCCTCCTTGATCGCTAGAAGAAGATGTGACACACCTCGTGACAACGTCGTGAATGTCATTGCAAATACCATGACTTTTTTCAAATATTATGGTGCAAATTTTTGTTATTATATTTATTGAATCTCTTTTATTTAGATTGGAGTCCCACCTGGCCTCTATGACTCTGATTATGTTGATTACGAGATGACGTCTGCTATCATCGAAGGTATTGCTGATTCGTTGCTTACTAACTCTCTTGTTATGACTCACGTAACACTAACCTTACCGCACGACCGATCTCTGCTGCTAGCTCACTTCCTTCAAGAAAAAATCGGCAAAGAGCTAGCGATTGTACACGTTACATAGAAGAAAAAAATCAAAATAAATATTCTGCCCTTGTGTTGACGGCACCAGTTTTCGCGCCGAGCAGGTGTAAACGAAAAGAGCACCTGTTTCCTGACTCTCATAGTTCATTATGCGAACACACGATGTCAAATCTTTTAGCTGGTAGTTTTCGCCTGGGATATTTGTGACGATTCAGTTATCTTATGGAGTACATAGTGACCTAAGATTAAAATCAACGGCTGTACAGTAGACACCGCGACTACAAAGGCCGATTTACACCCATTTTGCGAACGAAATTTGAAAGGAAAAAAAAAGTTTTAAGTGCGCGAATTGGAATGTTGGCGCGAGTTAAAAAAAATTCAGTTCCACGCGACTATTTTTCAAAATTGTACCAGTTCTTTCCATCGCGGTACCAATAAAGCACAGAACACGGTACGGTGGCAAATCTGTCAATATTTGGCTACAAAGCCCAGTAGATTATCGCCGCGGTAAAGTGGAGATCGCGGATTCAAAGGAACCCTTGTCCATATCTGTTTAGTATAAATCCACCAGCGTTCTATCACGAATGCCGTTCTACGCTACTCACTATCTTTTCTGCGATAGATAATGAGTAGAGTAGCAGTGTGCGCTTGTTAAAGTGCCACTAACCCCAAAACGTTTTATTCCTTTATAAAATCTACTAATGAATGACGGCCGCGTCTTCGCGTTTTCGAGGTGTCTGTGAAGAGGATTTAGATTAAGTTTTGAACGACTAGTAGATTTATACTCGATTTCTATGCGTGACAGTCGACTCGGGCTGCGCCCTCGTCAACTATCACGCGATAGAAATCTCGAGCTCATAATCTAATTGCCTAATGCATTCCTCGGACTTAATTTAACAGATAAAAAAAGATAACCTTTATTTAACCTCTATTTTAGAAGAGGCTTAAGCCTAGCCCTAGCATGTACTGCTAATGATCCGTTTGATATTGTTGAATTAACTCTCCGATATGAAGCCACTAACGAAATCTGTCTTAATTGTAGAAATTACCGAACCAATAGAATCTGTGTCGGTTTTGACTGCCAAAGGACTGGATTCCATGGTGGCGTTCCACTGCAATGACAAAGAAGCTAGCAATGATTCCTGGGAAGTGATCCAATTCTTGCCGCTATGCAAGATCGGTGTTTCTCTATTTGTTCATAACGAGTCTATTGAAATTGAAACTAAGCAGAAGTTCTTCAACTGCATGACAGCAAAGATAGCATCCGAAACCCGGAAGAACAGAACGGGGGTGCTAAGAAAACAAAACAACAAAGTGAAAGAATCAAAATCGTGCCAGAAACTTTTGAAACAACTCGAGGGCCTTAAGTTTGAGTTCAAATGGGTTTACTTCAAAAACCTGCCGCAGTACCTGATCCCCTTTGGTGCAGTTCTAGGAACCATCTTACTCGCTTTCATTGCTGGGACAGTGTGGGATTGCTGCTCCAAAGATAAAGAGGGTAAACGCTACACGAAAAAAGGTACAGTTCATGGGGTACTTGTTTCAGTGAATTAGAAAAATGAAAAAATAAATAAGATTTTCCCTTGGCAGTGTTTATAGCACAAATGCCAGTTGGGCCGAGCAAACAACTGAAACAAATAGCTCAAATTGAACATAACATTGTTAAGAATCCCAACTGGCCGGATGGAAACCAGTTGGCTATTTACAAGTGTTGCCGAGGATTTGAACTCGAGGCTACCGTGAGACAAATCCAGTTATAGCTGGACTCGAACCCTGACCGCTGGATTGCGAGGCCGACTCGCAGACCACTCGGCCACGCTGCCTCCTAGAATTTGTTTTAACTGGTATTCACCCAAAGCAAACTAATGTATGTTTGAAAGGTCTTTAGTCAAGTATGTTTTCAACGCAGGGCAGTGACTTTTTAAATAGTAGGTCTATTGATTAATTTGAAACGCGTTACAGTGAGACCTTACAAATGGAACTATGTTTCAATCTTGGACAAAACGCGAGCTTCTAACACGTTTCAGACTAATTTCCCCCGAAATATCATTCTTTTTCTCTTCATATCAATTATAGTTTGAAATTGGTTTACCTTAATGGGGTGAAAGCAAAAGACAAAACAGGAAGCCAAGTAAACGAACGAGAAAATAAACAAACAAACAATAAATAAAAACAACCAACAAAACGTGTTTGTCCAAGTTCATGGTAAAAGAATTTTTTAAACCGCTTAAACTAGAACAGGGCTACTGATAATCCAACTGCAAAAGATAACTTATTTACACCTATTTCTTCACTTTTTTTAAAAGGTTTGGAAGAAGGCTTAATGGCTCAAACAAGTTTTGTGCTTAAAGATTCTACTCAAGAAGAAAGCGAATCCATTGCGGTTGCAGGCAAGAACTAGACCGAAGACAACATGCATTGTTATACTGCGTAAAAATGAGACTTCTGTCTCTATTCTCCTCGATTCAGACCCTGGATTTCCTGTGGTGCAGTGGTTGTTACCTTCACCTCAGTGAAACGTAGAAAACCGAATTTATAGTCTTCGCTGCTTATATTACATCGCTGTTATAACTTGTTTTCCGTCAGACTGTCGGCTATTTCCGTCATGAAACAGATCTGCTGTGATCTTACGTATATAACATGTGGCTGATCACTCTAGGTTAGAATATCTTTTGCTGTATTACTAATTTCAATCAGGAACTTTGTGGTGCAATTTTTGTCGCGCCCATAAGCTTGATTGTCAGTCGCCGTTCAGGAAAGGAGCGCACGTCCTCCCTTTGAAGTTCTTCCCGGGAGGACGCGCGGGGATTGTACCAATCGGACCAAAAACAGCCTGTGTGAACGGACTTTGAGGGGGCAATCTGAACAAATAGAGTTGAATTCCAGAGGTCCGTGGTTCACACAGCAAATTCTGCTTGCAGCTTGCCAAATTCAACTCCTTGTGTACGATGATGTAAATAGCTGAATAGCTATAAACCAAAAGAATTCACGATGAAATCCTGCCTCACGCTAGGCCGTGAGTATTAAAGTTAACTGATCATTTACTATTGGCTATTGCGTGACTATTTGTCATAAAAGGGGTCTAGGTCGACTTTATCTCCCTTATTTGGATTCCTTAAAAGTCGCCTCATTTTATAATATGGTTCCCCTCATTGCAGTCGCGTATAAGAAATTTTAAATTTTACCGGAAAATGGGTCCACGACAAATGCAGCTGGAAAAAAGCCATCAGTTACCTAGTCTGGTACCCGGGCTTTCCTTTCCTGTGCATGCCCAATACCTTATAGCTTGTATACTGTAAATATTTCAGAAATTTTGCTAGTGGATTCCAATAGACCCTGCTCATAAATGGCTGCCAATTAAAAATTATTTTGTAAGTATTAAAATTAGCCCAACTAACCTCGTTTTTGAGTTGATAATTCAAAAGAATTTTTACACTCAAACGAGGTTAGTTGGCCATTGGCTCATTTAAATGCTTACAAAAGAAATTTAAATTAGCAGCCATCTATGAATAGGTTCTATTGCTTGTCCTAACGTAAAATGGCCTTTAAAAGGTGTAAATTAGTTTGTTATGTGGAGCGAATAAATTTAAATATTATAATAGAAGTACATGTAGATGGTTTTGTAGGAATGTATTACATTTTTTAGTTAGGGACATTTTACCGTAACTGTAATGGTGTAATGCAACTGTTATGCCATACTTCAGTAGGAAATAAAATAAAAATCCCGGCCATTTGCTATAATCAAATTTGTATATGTGTGGATACTTCGGTCTTTATTGTCTTGTGAAGTGAAGTGAAGACACGTTCTATTACACAAGCTCGACATCTTGTTATGAAGTGTTTGCTCATCATATCATGTGAAAAAAAGCACAGTGTTAAACAGGTCCCATTTATATCCCCTACCCAGGGGCAACTTAATCGATCGTTAGCCTTTTTATGAGAAAAAAAAGTTGTCCCTGTTGGCTGAGTCACCCTGTGATTATTAATCATCCTTGTCAGATATTCAAATGCACAGTTATACCTTTTTTTAAATTTGTTTTTCGGTCATTCGATCACTTTAAACTTTGCTGAGTCAACTTTCACTCATTAAGTATAGTTTTTTGCTTTAAAACTTAAAATCTCTTGTATGTGAACGGGCTACAGTCGGGGAGGGGGGGGGGGGGTACTCCCTTATATCGAGCTTTATAGGTATGTGCGGCCCCAAAGTTTAGGATTTTTCAGCCGCTTTGGTCATAAATAGGGTATCGATTTTGGCCATTTTAGTCTTAAATAGGGTATGGTTTTAGCACTCTAGTCTTGCATTGGGTATGTTTCTTAGAAAAAGCTACTTTTTCATCGTTATTAATAAGACCGTCAACAAAAGCCCCTTATAACTTACGTTTAGGACAACTGTGCCAGCCGTGCGCAACGGTCATAAATAGAGTATCGAATTTTTGGCCAGCTAATAAATAGGGTAGCAAAATTCGCAGATTTTGGTCATAATTAGGGTAAGGGTTTGGGGAAGTGGGCCGCACACCTCCACCCAACAATTCTCAGAGTACCCCCCAGGGGTCTTGTTTCACCTGACTGCGCTAAAACTTTTCTTGAGAGTGCCCTTATCCATCAAGGCGTCGAAAACTTATTATTGAAGTTTTCGTTGCAATTTGTGGCTATTTCCACCGTTTTTGGCTTTCTTTGCCACCTCCTCTAGAAGGTGGTCTGACTGGGATTTCCTCGCCAGTGCGAACTGGGGAGATCATTTTAGGACTGCGAAGGACTGGGACTACGATGGTCACGTAGCAACAAGGGACCGCCATTTTTTTGTTTTGGAACAAATCCTCCACAGAAGTTCTCTGAGAGTTCTCTGCGACAAAATGGCTCACACTGTTATATCCACGAAGTTACCTCCAAACATAGATCCAACAAAATCACGAATTGCCTATGGAGATCGTGCACTGCCTAAACTAGTGAGTATTGACTATTTTGGAATGAGCTTGACTGTAGATTTCGTTCGTTCAGGCATAGGTTCAGATGTGATAGAAATTGCTGTCCTAGATGTCTGCAAGTGTTGAGCTCAGCTAGATATGATCAGTTATCTTAGCCGAATTATTTTACTCCTGAAAGTTTAAATGAAACCAGTTGAGTTTTTTCAAAGTTGTTTGTTTGTAATATGTTTGTAAAATGAGTACCACGTTTGTGTTTATCTGTTGAGAACTGTCAGATGGCACAGCTCCTAATTGCTTCATCAAAACTTTTCATTAGGATAGCTCCCTTTTTGAAGTTGCTTAAGAGTCTTTAAACTTCTCGCTATATTTAATGATTAGCGCTTAAATGGCCCAAGTACAAATGCACATGTAAGCTTATTATTGTTGTATACAGAGATATAACTGTACTTGACAGTAGAATCATGGCATATATGATCAGATGAAGATTGTGCAGGGAGTCAGATACTGCAGATTGCAAAGGTTTTGCAGAGTTCCAAAGCTTGAACCATGCAGTAAATTGAACTCAGTGAATAGAACATTGCACATTCATGCACATAGTGACCACACCAGCCATTGGGGCTGTATTCTAATGTATAGAGCCAGTAATGGGCCGTAAATGCTGGTCATGACAAATTTACTAATATTTAATGTCTTTCTGAAAGATAGCATACATTTTTGCTTGATCCACGCAGAACCGTGAATTAAACAGTCCAGACCTTTTAACACGCCAAAGAGCGCTGATGTCACTTTGTGATGTGATGCACAATCCTGAACACATATCTGAAGGACTCAGAGTTGGTAAGTTAATGTATGGTGTGTAGAAAAAGGTACATCCATTCATGTTCAATTGTTGGCAGTCCAGTTGTTGTTGCGAACATCCTCAATTACTGTGAATGACTATTCATAGTCCTCAGAAGCTAACCTTACCGAGTGTTTGGTATGCATGTACTGAAATGTTGATTGCTAAAACATGTAAACTGGAACACCCAAAATCTGATTACATGTAGGTTAGGATTAGAGAAATGGTTATTACTTTTAAACGTGTACTTACTAGTCAAGTGACGCTTTTGAGTGGTTTACCATGGAATATCCCACAAGTCACTGGTATGTTCTTGGTATACACATGAGCCATAAGCCCGGTTCATACGGCGCATTTCTGCTGTGTGGAATTCAATTCAACGAATTAAATTCGACAGAAATTCGACGTCTGAATCAGCTGCCGCATTTCTGCTGCATGTTCGACTGGTCTTGTCGCATTATCCGACAGAAATGCGACACCGATTCAGACTTTGAATTTCTGC